GCAAATGAACGCAACTCTGACTGTTAGAGGAGTTTAATGCAGCAACAAGTTTGTGAACTTTCTATTTTCTTTTCCAGTTGTAATTTCAATAGTAGCTGGATCTCACATATAGTCACTGACTGTTCTTTCTTTGATAAAATGACAACAAATTAAACCAGTTTGGATACCAACATGCACTCTGCAGGTCGTTCTGTCATCAGGGAATAAAAATGTCATTTATAATTGCAGGGCTGCATAAAATAGAATGATGTAACCCAATAAAATGGACAATTGATCCTAAACAAACGTGGTCATTCAGTGAAAAACTAGGGTTGGATTACAGCCGACTGATTATGTGAGACTCCTCCATCAAGTCTGGAGGAAATGTGTCGGTACCTGAGAGAAGATTAGAAATAGGAGAAGTGACATTTTCTCCAAAATCACTCGTAAAAACGATGTAAAAATATGAATTTGTTTGTACGAACGCTTCTTTCATGCTTATGATGATAATTTCCAGCCTATAAACACTTCTAGAATTTTCTCTGATCTTTCTCTATTATAGACCGGTAAATATAGATGAGGCTTCACAACCGGAGAGAAGGTGATACACAACATTTTAATACATTTTAACCCATTGGTGAAAAATAAGACCTTTAAATGTCAATTTTCATAATTACAGTCTATATTTACTTCAATAGAGCAAATATTCCCTCAAACCTTCAGGCAATAATCAGGGAAGCATCATGAAACACTTTGCAGTAACTAAAGAAATCAACCCTTCAGGTTAGCCGTGCATTTTACAGCTCAGTCCCTGACTTTTATGGAGGCAATAAGGAAACTATTGCTGAAATAAAAAAAAAAAAGCTATAACTTACTTTATGGTGTAAATTCAAAACTGTTTAGATGGCTGCAAATAACTCATTTCCCGGCGGTGGTTTTCTCTCTAGTGGGATGAAAACTCCGTTGTGAGAGGGACGTCTTCAGGACCTCTAATTGGATTTAAATATGTCATTTGATTCTGGAGAAAAAAAAAAACGTTCGAGGGCATTATGACTGTCTCTATGTACATACATCTACAGTAAAGATAACTGCATTTTATGAGGAAGGTATGCCAATAAATGCTGGGTTCTTGCAAAACGCTGTGAGCCATTATGTGTGCAATAAAAAAAAAGTTCAACATTATTTCTTTTCTTTCCTTTTTCTTACATTTGATTGATTTTAAAACAGGGCAAATACACAATATATAATGAAAATTAACAGTTTTTTTTACATTGTTAACTTAATTTTAAAGTATTTTTTTCCCATCCAACAACTTGCACACATTTGACACACTTTAATCAGTCAGTCAAATTCTGCACAATTTTTTGCACTGAACCATTGCAATTTGCACACTGTTTTTATCCACTGCCCTGTTTACACTTTGACCACTGCTACACTTTTTGTATAACTCGTGTGTAACAATCCGGAAATGTATTCCATCTCATTTGAAATATCAATGCAATGTTCATAAGTTGCATGCAACGCAATTTCGTTCTGTATGCACTCTGTGCATACAAAATGAAAAATAAAGAAGTTTAAGTCTAAGTCTAAATTCCCCTTGATTTCATTTTCATTTTACAGTTTATAAAGCAGCAGACATGAAAAGCTGATCAGCATCTGCTCCATTTGATCAATTCAGTTTCATTCCTCGGTGTAAGAGGATAATGCTGCATAAGAAGATTTCTTATTGCGTCATCCAATCAATGTGCCCAGCCCATAAAGGTTTGTTAACACTAAACAGTAGTAATACATAAAAAAAAATTAAAAATTAAGAGTTGTTTTTCAAACCATACTGAAAAAGAAGGGAAGCACAAAGAACAGAAATATATCAAGGGTGCTCTTCAAACCTGTGGATACCAAAACTGGATGTTTGTCAAATCAGCAAGGAAATCCAAAAAGACACGCAGCAGAACATAAGAGAAGATTAAACGCAAAAACATGGCCGTCCCATATGTTGCTGGAGTCTCTCTCAGAGAGGATTTTCTCCAAACACAAAATCCCAGAACATTTCAAACCAAACAAAACCCTTAAACACAGACCAGTGCATCCTAAAGACAAAACCCCCAGACCAGAGTGCGAAATACGGGGGGGTCCGGGGGGGGCTCGACCCCCTGAAAGCCTCAAAAGCAAAATTTAAAGGGGGTCTTAGGCCCCGTCCACACGAAGTGAAACCCTGGCCTAAACGCAAAAAATTTTTCACCAAACCAGCCTCTCATCCATACAAAGCCGGCGTTTCGGGGGTCTGTAAACGATCTTTTTTTTATTCAGCCTTCAGAGTGGGAAGATTCTGAAACGCCGTTTTCGCGTTTCCATCTTTAAGCTCTAACTGCATTTTTTTTTTTTTACACGCATGTGTCATAGCGTCGCCTCTAAACACGCATGCGCGACACAGTATCACAACAACAATGGCGCCGTACTGTGTTGAATGGTTGCTGCTCATGCTACTCACCCTGCTGTCGGGCTTACAACAGAATCTTCTTCTTCTGGAATATCTCCAGGAAGAACAGAGCAATATCGACGACATAGTTCAGCACCTGAATTTGACTTAACCACGAAAATGGACCCGCAGGGCAACCATGTATAAATATTAGTGCGCATGCCCAACATTTCGTCGCTTATTTTTGCTTTGGCACCACAGCGCCACTTACAGGCCTGGCATACATTTTGCAGCATTTTCATGCATTCCTGTGGACGATCACATGGGGCGTTTCTCAATTCACGAGAACACAAGTACGTACTCGCGTTCTCGTGAAGTCCGTTCTTGGCGAGTACGCAGGAAGATCGGACTTGACGAGAACGCGAGCACGTATGTGTATTGGAACAGAAGCATACTCGTGACGTCATCACATGCAACATTCTTTAGCATTTCTTTAACAGTCAAAACTATTTATTCCCTACACAAAACATTTTGAAAACAATATTTTTACTTTCTAAAGCTTAAAAAACATTAAAAAAAATTACCGAACCGCAAAAAAACCGCCATCAGAACGAGCGGTAGTTCACACATAACTAGACCGAGAGAAGTGCACTACAGACGGGGTAAATTTAGCCCTGGCTGCGGTTACCCTCGGAGGTCTGCTGGTCACTCTGGTCCGCTCAACGTCGGACTTTTTTTTTTAATTTCGCACTAACTCTGTAAACAGACCACACAGGGAGGCTTAAATGTATAATGTTATCGCCTCAAACGATTTCAAAACGTACTTTTGAAGAACAACAGCAGCAGAAAAGGGAATGTTTAACTTACCACTGTGAGCGCTGTCTTGAATCAAGCTGCGGCCGCGGGGCATTCTGGGGAAGCGGTCAGTCTGAAGAACGCACAAGTCTGCTCTGATGCATGCTCGATAAAGAGGGCGGGGCGAGAACAACATCCGGGGATTTGATGCGTTCTCGATCTGGCGTTCTCGAGAATTGGAACGGTACTCGTGCTGAGGCTGATGACGTGTCACAAGTACACGAGCACACGAGAACGCTCAAGAACGCATATTGAGAAACGCCCATTTATTTTACGTCTCCGTCTTTATGACAAACGTTCTGGAAAATATTAGCGTTTCGTGTTCGTTTTGACTTCGTGTGGACGGGGCCTTAAATTGTGTCAAAAAAATTAAAAATATATTTTGGTCACTAATGGTCACTAAAATGTTTTTATACTCAACATGTCTGGTATTTAAAATTAAAAACATTAATTCACAAATATGTTCTGTTTTTTTGCCAAGTATAGCCAGCCAATGCTGTGTGCGTATGCAAATTAGCCATGCGAACGCTAAACAGAAGAGAGACATAACGGGGCAGAAGAAGTTAGTTTTCCCAGCATATACCGGGCGGCATGTTCAGTATAAGGAGCTGCCAGTTAATGTCAATCTTTTCCAGGTTATTAAGTTACATGTTTTACTTGTTACTGTTAATCTGTCATATCATCAGAGTTTCTGTTATAATCTGAAGTACCTCTTGTTTCACCGTGAGTCTGGAAGGTATGTCCATTAATGAAAATTTAGATCGATATTGGGCAACAATCGCGAGATGGGGACCCCCCTAAAATATTGACCGGTATTTTGCACACTGCCCTAGACCAAATAATAGCGCAGTGGTGTCTGCAGGTCAATGCAGAGGGGAATGCTCTGATTTTTATACTGGAGAAACCAAACAACTTCTCCGCAGACAAAAGACTCTGCTGTCCATCTACACCTTATGGACAAAGAACATTATTTTGAGGACCAGAATGTTCACATTTTGGACAAAGAAGACAGGTGGTTTGAAAGAGGTTTGGAAGCCATTTATATTAAGAGAGAAAAAACAACCTTAAACAGAGGGGGTGGACTCTCAAAAACCTATAACACAGCGATAGAGTTGATTCCATCCCGCTATCATTTCAACCCTCACCGCCATACATGGAAACAGAAGACCTCTCCTGTTTAGCCAGCCCAACAATTCCCCCTAACGACCCCATTTCTGAAACATTGACCAGTATTGAGTATTGCAGGCTAACAAAGAACCCAACGACTGCCCATTCCTAAGGGGTGGACCCGTTCCTCTGGTTCAGTTTGCATGTTTTCTAAACTAAAACAAGGCTTTGATTTTGACTCTATAAAGCCTCAAACTCAACACTATTTCTGACATTTTAAATTGAAAGATCTTCAAACTTGGAAACTAAGTCCAGTGGATTTTGTTTTTATTTATTTATTTATTTTTTTTTATATTTTTTTTTACTTTTTTAGAATTATTATGACCTGGATGACTGAGAATCTTAAACAGCATTTGTCAAACCATCCGCTCTCTCTATACATTTTGCATAAGGCTTACTCAGCTTATCACCTTCCAAAAAAAATAATAATAATTTGATTAACCTGAATCATTTTCAAAATACTGCCAAAAGCTTTACTAATCATAATTGTGTCACTTTAATTTCTTTCTGAAAACAAAAAAAAAGATCTCTTAAGAAGAAAATAAACAAAAAAAAAATCTCCTTGTTCTTTAATAACCTGCAGTTCCACCTTTCTCCAGCTAGTGGCGGTAGCGCTGCGGGGTTTTATGTGATTTGCAGTTGGATAAAATCGAAGAAGAAGAGCTTCCCTCAGCAGAAATGCAACGAGAGAAAACAAGCAACGCCGCCGCGGCTGAAAAGTGAGATTTATTTCTATTTATTATTAATGTTTTTCTGCGGTTATTATTCTGGTTGTTTAACCTTGATGCTGCTTATCGTCTCCGGTCGTTTCTTCAACCCGAAACGCTCCATATTGAGATAAAAAGCCTCCTTGTTTTCCTCCTGTAGGCCCGACCGGGAGGCCGCCATCATGTCCAAATACTACGATGGAGTGGAGTTTCCTTTCTGCGACGAGTTCTCCAAGTATGAGAAGATGGCTAAGATCGGACAGGGAACCTTTGGGTGAGGAGAAGTGCGAAGCTTTCATCTGCAGCCTCAGAAAATGGCTGAATTGAGCTCCGAACCAGAACCGCCTTAATGTTTCTAAGGATTGTCTTAGGCCAGATCTAAACCCAGCAGCGTTTAAACCTGAGCCTGGTTTGGTTAAACTCAACCATTGCTCCTAGAGCTAAGATATAAGATCAGATGAACCTTAATGTCGCTTTCAGGTAAAGTTCCGCTGTTCTGTCAGACCAGCATCACCAGTGGCGGATCTAGACCAAATTTAGGAGGGGCCTAGGAGGGGCCCAGCTTGTTTTCATGGGGGCCACAAAAAAGCATGAAATAAAAAAAAAGGGCAAGGGATGCAAATATATTAATATAGCTGCATGAAGTTAAATTTCTATTCAAGACATTTTAATACCAATTAAGGCCTTAATTTTATTTTGAAGAATTCAATGCCTTTTAAGGCTTTTTAAGGACCTGCGGGAACCCTGATTATGAATGTATATTGACCTAATAAGACATAGGAATTTAATTTAGGAATTTTACATATTTTTGATTTCATTTAAGTTAAGATTACCGTTTTCTATAAAATCTGAATTAGAACTCAAGGAAAACTTTTATAGTGTTATCATCGTCTCCCTTTTCTCTCCTCTTTCAAGAAAAACTGATAAATTCAGTTGTAAAATATTGGATTTTTTTTTTTTTTTTTCGATTTAGAGACATTTAGCAGATGGAAACTGGGATCCTATCTCAATACCACTAAAGTATTTTTTTTAAATAACTAGTAGAGCAGAATTTGTAAAGAAAAAACTTGAAATAGATCCAAAGGACCAATCAGTATCAATGTCTGTTCCAGCACAGATCATCGTTAGAGTTTCTTTCAGTATTATGTCTTCAGTACAGGTGCCATAACAGGGGCACTGGCCCCAGTTGGCCCAATGTCTAGAACCACCCATGAGCATCACTGATCTCCATTTACTGGATTGTTGATTTCCCGGAAAAAGTGAAGCCACCAGCTGCCATATTGGTACTCCCTACTCCCAAAGAGACGCGCAGTAAAAATCATTTGGCTGAAAAAACAAGCAGTTTTCAGGCTCTGAATTCGTTTCAGAGATAATTTCACAGTCAGTGGATTTACTAACCAAGAAAATCCATCTATACGCTAATGTGTCCTTTATTATACTGTGTAGCTTAACATTAATCCGGTTATCTCGGACTGACTCAATGATATTGACTGAGTTAGCCACTGACGTGTCAAACGTAAGAAAATAGAAAGTAGAGTAAATAGTAATTCACTGTGAAATGTCCATGTAGTAATTCTTAAGTGGATGATGCTGTTTTTGTAGTTTTTGTTGTTTTTCACATTTGAAAAGGTGATGAGCTGAAATATATTGCATCTTATAAATATATTGCATGTCACATTGACAGACAAAAAACAATCAATTTAGCACTTTTGGCATATATATATATATATATATATATATATATATATATATATATATATATATATATATATATATATATATATATATTAGGGATGGGACAATTTATGAAAACCGTCCGAACCGTTCGGTTCGACTGTCTCGGTTCGGTTCGCGTGTGTTGCGTTCGGTTCATGCGCTGCTCCTTTTTCTCATAGGCGAAGCGTTTACACTCCAGAGCAGAAGTGGCGGTACTGCGACCAAAGCCAACCACCAGTAGTAAACAAGAAGAAGACGAAGCGAAGCAGCGTAGCTGGGTGTAGCAGGGAAAAAAATCAGTTGTTATGGAGAATTGTGTGGGTATGGCGAGTGGGAAAGAACAGGAGTTGGAAGACGCGCCAGCAGCACTTTATAGGTCTGCTGTATGGGACCACTTTGCATTTAGAGTGACCTACGATGACGGCGGGAAGAAAGCTGTGGATAAAAGTGCAACAGTGTGCAAGCATTGTGCAACACGTTTTGTTTATGCTAACAGCAACATGTCAGGCTAACCCCGAAATCCCTCATACTCCATCAGCGCTCCGCCCAGCTGCGCTCCAGACCGCCTGCACAAAGCAAAGCCTACAGCCTCCACTGTGGCTCCCGTCCGCTCCGCTCTGAGTTCCTTGGAGATCGTAGAGGGCATGCGCCAGATGATTACATTCAAAGCAGCAAAACATGCGGAAATGATCCAGAGTTTCATTAAAAATAATTACAATTCATTATTTTTTTTGGATTTTTTCATTAATTTCATAATTTTTTATGGGATTTCAGGCTAACAATCCACACATACCGAACCGAAATCCGTGACCATGAAACCGCGAACCGAACCATGGATTTTGTGAACCGTTCCACCCCTAATCTGTATTATTATGCGCCATTAACACATTAATTTTATTGTTATAAAATTGTGGATTTGTATAAGATGTTATATTACGTGATTTATAGACTTCATTGACTTCATAATATTTTTTTTAAAATAATCTACTGATGCTATGAAACAGCCACTGTGTGTCAAAGTGATCAATTTATAATTATTTTAAAAGTCCTGCTGAAAATGAGAACATCATCGTTGTTTGATGCTGTTGCGCACAGATTGTTTACATTGCGACTGGTCTAACAAGGGAGTACCAACATGGCGGCCGGTGGCTTCACTCCAACCTGGTACTACCAACAGACGATCAGCAATCCAGTGAATAAATAGAGATCAGTGGTCGGCGTGCTGAAGATGTCAGATTTGCAAACGTCAGACATTTTAAGTGGAAGGAAGTCTACTAGGCTACTTTATTCATGCGTGATGTGAGAAACAAAAGGTTGTAGTTGAAGGTAAACACACAAACTTACCAGAAAAGTGGACTGAAAGTCATTTAGGTTAGTTTATTTCTGCATGATGTAATAAAAAAAAAAAGGTTTTAGTCTGAGATTAACAGATTTTAAAGCTAAACTGCTTTAAACAAACAGCCTGGCTCTCTGTGTTCACCACTTCACACCCTGATGTAGCGGCTAACCGGTCAGATTGTGATAAAGTGGTTAAGAGTATTCTGACCTTCCTGCATGCGTATAACTATGGTTATGCTGATCTGACAGAACACCGGTTCTAACATTAAAGCCGGTTCTGGTTTAGCCTGGAGTGGATCGTTCTGCCCTCATTTATCTTTTCTTTATGTCTGAAGTGTTTCATTGTAAACCCGTATTCTGCTCTCATTAGTGTGAATCGTGGTGTAAACGGATTTGAACTGGTTTGGTTCTGTGTCACAGGGAGGTCTTCAAAGCGAAGCACAGGCAGACCGGGAAGAAGGTGGCTCTGAAGAAAGTTCTGATGGAAAATGAAAAAGAAGGGGTGAGAAACTGTTAGCTTCAAGTCGGCGAATCGGAGCCATGTTAGTTTAGACCTTCACTGTGAGATTGGCGTCCACCTGATGTAGACGGTGAACGCCTCACTGAGCCTCACACCGAAATCCCACATCCTCCGTAACCTTCTCTTTCCGTTCCGCTGCGCATCAGATTGCGCAAAGCGAAGCCCACAGCCTCTGCATGAAGCATGCTCGATATTATTATTATTATTAAACAAAACGTGCAGAAATGAACGCTTAATTTAATTTTACACATTAAAAAAAATCACCATCATCATCCAGCATATGTTCAGTTTCTTTTTGTTGTGGATTTTTGTAACATTAGGATTTACATTAGCATCATCCATGGTTTATGTGAACTCTGTTTGTTCTCTGCTTCCAAACTCAGCATCTCTTCATCCAGGCCTACGATAAGAAGTTTGTTTTAAAGTTGTGAGATTCGCTCTTGGAAGTTTTGAATGGATTGGATTAAACTTTTAAGCCTCTCTGTATAAAATAATCCTCACGAAGTACGTGAGCGGAGCGCTGATGGTGTATGTGGAATCTGGGGGTCACTACTGGAAAACCACCATCAATCTGCTTCATCATCAACCTGCATGTCTTTAAAAACGGAGGCGGCGGCTGAGAATCACATATATCTGCTGCTCCTCTTATATTTTAATCCATCTAAAGTTTAAATCACAATTTCCATATCTGGTGCAAACTAAAAGTTAATTGATCTACTAACAATTAATTAATGAGTGGATTTTTTCTTAATTGCATGAGTTTCCTTTTATATTAAAGGTATTGTGGACGATTTTCGCCCTCTCCACTTAAAAAAAAAATGCACGTGCGAGAGCGTGCAGGAGCCCATTTCTCCTCACACACGCTCTGTTTAAAAGCTGCTTTCCTCATAGCTCATACAAGCTTACTGTGTCCGAACGTCTCTCTGATTTAGTGTAATCTAATGATCAGAGCTTTTAAATAGTTCTGGTCATTCTGTGGAGTTCATCAACCCTCAAAAAGCTGTTTAATTACTAGCATGTGTGTTTTCTGTCATGTTCCTAAAGTTTTGCATAATGTCCTCCACATTTCTATCACATCCTCGCCTTCTGATCCCAGCAGAGTTCTCCTGTTCCTCCATGCAGCGCGGCTAACTGGGTCCATTTAGCAGAACTGAAGGAGTTTATCCAGAGTTGAGATTCATTAACGGAACCACAGAGAGTTCATTCTGCATCCTTGGATCCATTAAACATTGAAGACAATCTGGACCAGAGTCTGGATCCATTCATGCCTCCACTCTGGCATTACTTCTCTTGCAGAATGAACTGTGGCACCCTCTACTGGACACCAAACATTACAACACTAAACCAATACCCCATTTCCACTACCCTTGAAAAACCGATCCATGCCGAGACCGGTCCGAGCTCAGATCAGTTAACCAGGCCGAGCTCGGTTCTGACGACCGTTTACACATCACGCTATCTCGGTTCCTCGACTCCTAGTGACGATCTGTGGTATTACTGCCAGTATGGACCAAAAGTTGTTTGCCAACCGCCATAAAACACAAGAAGAAGGTGGCGCCCATCACATTCAGAGAGTTATGCTTGATTATTATTGCTGTACTTCGGTGTTTGCGGAGGGTCAGGCGAAGACGGCAACCTTTAGTGGATGTTTATAGTTGTTCTTCTTCTTCCATTGTGTTGGTTGGCAAGCAACCAATCCATCTTACTCCGCCAGATGGATTTGCTCTGCATATCCATCTGGAAACCTTCCTTTGAAGTAATTTTGGGAAGGGGCGAAAATACTGGTTAGCTGATTGGCCTATGTTAGTGATAGACGGGCCAAATAAACCAATCAGATCAACGAAGCATATGACGTACTAACAGAGCGACGACGAAGAGGAGCCAATTGATAGATCAAACTCTTGCCGAAACCAGTCAGGAGAAGAGCAAAAACATCTTTTCCTCTGAGAAAAGCCTCCAGAGCAGTGTTTTGCTCTTCTTTCAGTCAAGAAATACTCTGTAATTCCGATAAAACTTGCTCGATAGCCACGCTAACGCTAGTTTCATCGGCTGAAGCTGCCATGTTCTTTAGACTGAACTGTCGCGCTTCTCGTTGCGTCACACCTCAACCCGCCTCAAAGCCAACGCTGATTGGACGTTCGTTTGGTGAACGGCTCCAAATTTTCTTTAACGGAGAGTCTCCAGACTGATCTGCGAGTGAAACCTTGAAAGCTCGCGAGATCAGGATGGTCTCACGAGGCTACTTCTGGAGGGGCATTACCGCCAACTACTGGATTGGAGTGTGAATCGGGAGTGCAGCCAGACGGAGATGACGCGTTCTGCTCATGCGCTCTTGTTATCAAAGAACCGAGGCAGGGAAAACCCGAGCCGAGCCCACCTCTGGAACTGGTCTGCAGTTAGCTCGGTTCGGTTGTGTCTATCTCGGTTCAGTTCAGTTTGCTTTCCATTTACACACCATAAGTTATCTCAGTTACTGAGCTGGGACCGGTCTCGGCACGGTTTTTCAAGGGTAGTGTAAATGGGGTATATAATTCCTTTAAGTGGACCTTATCCTTTAATTAGATGGAACAATTTTTTATGTAATAAAACATCAATCTAGTAATCGGTTATTTGTAAAGAACTCTAATCAGAAGTTCTCCACAGCTCCATCTATGGGGGATGTTCTAAGCTGACGAATGGGAAGAAAAACCAGGGATAGGCTTGGATAAGCTGGTATTGTCCCTCTTCTAAAGGGATGCATTATGGGAAGAAGTTGAGCCAGACGGGTCGGTTTGATGCTCTGGACTTGCATCCACCAGCAGGGACAGCTTCCATCTGTTCCACAGAGATTCTCCCACAATGGTTGGAGGAACAGAAAGAGAAACCGTTTTAAGCTGCATTCAGCTGCTGACACTCAGAGATACACACGGACCGGATTAATTCTGGATCAGGTGTCCTTTTTGAGCCTCGGTGCGCTCTGTAGACGCTCCCGTCATTAATCCCGGTTCCTCTGCCGCTTCCCTCCTTTAGTTCCCGATCACGGCGCTGAGAGAGATAAAGATCCTTCAGCTGCTCAAACACGAGAACGTGGTCAATCTGATCGAGATCTGCAGAACCAAAGGTTGGTCGCCACCCGTCCACACCAGCAGGACGCGGTTCCACTGGTTCCATCACTAAACTGGTTTGTGTGTTTGAGTAGCGACCCAGTTCAACCGATACAAAGGCAGCATCTACCTGGTGTTTGACTTCTGTGAGCACGACCTGGCCGGCCTGCTGAGCAATGCCAACGTCAAGTTCACGCTGGCAGAGATCAAGAAGGTGATGCAGATGCTGCTGAACGGGCTCTACTACATCCACAGGAACAAGGTGAGGCCCGGACCGAGACCAGAACCTGCTTCTGTGGCTGTTCCCGCTAACTCCTTCTACTTCCTCCTGCCCCAGATTCTGCACAGAGACATGAAGGCAGCAAACGTTCTCATCACCAGAGACGGCGTCCTGAAGCTGGCGGACTTCGGTCTGGCTCGGGCGTTCAGCCTGGCTAAAAACAGTCAGGGGAACCGCTACACCAACCGGGTCGTCACGCTGTGGTACCGACCTCCAGAGCTGCTGTTGGGTAGGAAGCAGCTTTAAAACCTTTCTATTGTTCTGTATTTGAGGAAAAAGTATCCGATGACCTTTGACCCTTTTGTATTTTTGGTCCTAATGGTTTCCTTCTGCTTTGGGATGTTTTAATCTGAACCGAATTCAAACCTGAACGCTTAGAGTCCTACTTCTGGCTTAAACATGTATATAAATGTTCTCTTTATCAGACCATATTGTCCCAAAACTTAGAAAATGTATATTTTTAAAAATTCCTGTCTTAAAATCTGTTTTTTTTCGTTATCTTCTGCAGGCCAGTTAGTTCTACATCAGCCTGAACATCTAAATTCGGCCAATCATATATCAACGGTCATCTGTCAATCAAATTTTTTTGGTCATAGCATCTTGATTCATATGTCGCTCGTAATTTTACGACTTTATTCTCATAATTTTATGACATTATTCTCGTAATTTTACGACTGTATTCTCATAATTTTATGACATTATTCTCATAATATTACAACTTTATTCTCGTAATTTTACGACTTTATTCTCATATTACACCTTTATTCTCGTAATTTTACGACTTTATTCTCATATTACGCCTTTATTCTCGTAATTTTTACGACTTTATTCTCATACTTTTATGACATTATTCTCATAATATTACAACTTTATTCTCGTAATTTTACGACTTTATTCTCGTAATTTTACGACTTTATTCTCGTAATTTTACGACTTTATTCTCGTAATTTTATGACTTTATTCTTGTAATATTACGACTTTATTCTCGTAATTTTACGACTTTACTCGTAATATTACGACTTTATTCTTGTAATTTTACGACTTTACTCGTAATATTACGACTTTATTCTTGTAATTTTACGACTTTACTCTCGTAATTTTACGACTTTATTTTCGTAATTTTACGACTTTATTCTCATAATTTTATGACATTATTCTCATAATATTACGACATTATTCTCATAATATTACGACATTATTCTCATAATATTACGACTTTATTCTCATATTACGACTTTATTCTCATAATTTTATGAAATTATTCTCGTAATTTTCCGACTTAATTCTCGTAATTTTACGACTTTATTCTCGTAAAATTACGAGAATAAAGTCGTAAAATTACGAGAATAAAGTCGTAAAATTACGAGAATAATTTCATAAAATTATGAGAATAAAGTCGTAAAATTACGAGAATAAAGTCGTAATATGAGAATAAAGTCGTAATATTATGAGAATAATGTCGTAATATTACGACTTTATTCACGTAATTTTACGACTTTACTCTTGTAATATTACGACTTTATTCTCGTAATTTTACGACTTTATTCTCATATTACGACTTTATTCTCGTAATTTTACGACTTTACTCGTAATATTACGACTTTATTCTTGTAATTTTACGACTTTACTCGTAATATTACGACTTTATTCTTGTAATTTTACGACTACTCTCGTAATTTTACGACTTTATTTTCGTAATTTTACGACTTTATTCTCGTAATTTTATGACATTATTCTCATAATATTACGACATTATTCTCATAATATTACGACTTTATTCTCATATTACGACTTTATTCTCGTAATTTTACGACTTTATTCTCATAATTTTATGAAATTATTCTCGTAATTTTCCGACTTAATTCTCGTAATTTTACGACTTTATTCTCGTAATTTTACGACTTTATTCTCGTAAAATTACGTGAATAAAGTCGTAAAATTACGAGAATAAAGTCGTAAAATTACGAGAATAATTTCATAAAATTATGAGAATAAAGTCGTAAAATTACGAGAATAAAGTCGTAATATGAGAATAAAGTCGTAATATTATGAGAATAATGTCGTAATATTACGACTTTATTCATGTAATTTTACGACTTTACTCTTGTAATATTACGACTTTATTCTCGTAATTTTACGACTTTACTTTCATAATTTTACAACTTTATTTTCGTAATTTTACTACTTTATTCTGGAAATAAAATAAATAAATCCCTAGCCTGGCCCTAATACTCCGTTGTAGCCGTTTGAACGTAGCCTTAGACAATTATTGCTGTTCATTTAATACAGTTGTACAATATTTGTCTGAGTAATTATATATTAATTAAATAAATTCTTTTTAATAATCTTAATCCTTAATATATCTGTTAATTATAATTGTCGACTGCTAAACAGAAAGTTCCCCTTTTTTAATGTTTGCATTTGTCCTCAGGCGAGCGTGATTACGGCCCGCCCATCGACCTGTGGGGCGCCGGCTGCATCATGGCGGAGATGTGGACCAGAAGTCCCATCATGCAGGGGAACACGGAGCAGCACCAGCTGACCCTGATCAGCCAGCTGTGCGGCTCCATCACCGCCGAGGTGTGGCCCAACGTGGACAAGAAGTACGAGCTCTACCAGAAGATGGAGGTGCCCAAAGGTCAGAAGAGGAAGGTGAAGGACCGGCTGAAGGCCTACGTCAAGGACGCGTACGCTCTGGACCTCATCGACAAGCTTCTGGTTCTTGACCCGACCCAGCGCATCGACAGCGACGACGCCCTCAACCACGACTTCTTCTGGTCGGACCCCATGCCGTCAGACCTGAAGAACATGCTGTCCACGCACAACACCTCCATGTTTGAGTATCTGGCTCCGCCCCGGCGGCGAGGACACATGCCACAGCAGCAGCCCAACCAGAACCGGAACCCGGCCACCACCAGTCAGACCGAGTTCGATCGAGTCTTTTAAACGGGGGTGGGGGGGTTAGACTTTTCCTGTTACAGTTTACCTTCACAGGATGTTTGGGTTTACCCAGAATCCTCAGAGTTCTGATCCAGTTCGCCAGCCTTGATCCATGAAGAGACTTTAAATTCAATCATTGCTGTTCCTGTACAGTTTAGGTTTGGTGTCCTGATGTTTATTTCCAGGTGGATCATGAGGTCCGTTACATGAATGACTGAAACGTGTTCTGATGAGTCCACTGAGCCGGAACTCCACACCAAATAAAATCTTTTTTCTTTTCTTTTTTTATAAACCTGTTTGTCACACTGTTGTTTATGATCAGGAAAAACAACCTGAATCAGTCCTTCACGCTGCAATGCCATCATCTGTCCACTAGATGGCAGCAGTCACCGTGTTATAGAAACAGTTTTTATTCACTCAGAAAGGAACAAATCATTTGCTTTGGTGTTTTAATGATTAATTTATCATGTTTTTGTTTCATAGACTAGAAAAAGCAGCTATATTTCAAACTTCTAATAATTTAGAAGTTAAAGTTTAATTAATTAGATTTTTTTTCTCTACTTTTCTTGCAGGACCAAAAAAAAAATTAAAAAATTAGTTCAGGTTCATTTGTAACTTTATTGCTCTGCATCATGTCCACTTATAAAATATTGAATTAAAAAACAAAAACAGCCCAAGTTTGGTGCAAACTCACCATCTGGTGAGATGGATAGTTTTCCTCAGACCCTGACTGTTTGAGTCGCCGCTGGCAGCATAGCAGCAGCTTTAACCTGAGATGCTGCAGGAATGAGAAGCAGTGTCAGCGGTGGGGTTTCTATTAAAGCTGCAACCAACCAATCAATCTGTCCATTTTTGTTTTTCTGATTATCAGATAACAAAATATGCTCAAAACATTTTTTTTCTTTCGGATTTAGAGCCAGATGTAGCTGAAACTACCACTTTAGACATGACTTTTGATCTTAACTTACCGTACTTTAAATTTTTCATGCCTTTGTCTACCATTAATATCTGTTGCTAAAATGAACAGTCGGTCCCTTCACACAATTAGCGACTCACTGCAGCTCTGGTTAGGCTGTTATTCTATCAAACTCATCTAGTGTTAATAAGTAAGAAGCTTATTAGTCAAAACCAACTACTATGCAGTTTATTTGCAGTAAAGCTGCTGTGTGGCCTATAGCTGCAACATCAAAGTGCAAAACTAAATAGATTTGATTATAAAAAGGCATATAATTAAGTTAAAATATAATTTTATAAATTGGTTTTGAGGGTTGGCCTAGTGGTTAGGGCAGGTTGCAAGTACCCGGTTTGATCCCCACAGCCTGACTTCCTGCAACCTGACTTAGCTCCACATATCCATCTGGAAACCTTCCGTTGAAGTAATTTTGGGAAGGGGAGAAAATACTGGTTAGCTGATTGGCCTATGTTGGTGATAGACGGGCCAAATAAACCAATCAGATCAACGAAGCATATGACGTACTAACAGAGCGACGACGAAAACTTATTCTCGGAATTTTACGACTTTATTCTCATATTACGACTTTATTCTCGTAATTTTACGACTTTATTCTCATATTACGACTTTATTCTCGTAATTTTATGACTTTATTCTTGTAATATTACCACTTTATTCTCGTAATTTTACGACTTTACTCTCGTAATATTACGACTTTATTCTTGTAATTTTACGACCTTACTCTCGTAATTTTACGACTTTACTCTCGTAATTTTACGACTTTATTTTCGTAATTTTACGACTTTATTCTCATAATTTTATGACATTATTCTCATAATATTACGACTTTATTCTCATATTACGCCTTTATTCTCGTAATTTTACGACTATTCTCATAATTTTATGAAATTATTCTCATAATATTACAACTTTATTCTCGTAATTTTACGACTTTATTCTCGTAATTTTACGACTTTATTCTCGTAATATTACGACTTTATTCACGTAATTTTACGACTTTACTCTTGTAATATTACGACTTTATTCTCGTAATTTTACGACTTTACTTTCATAATTTTACAACTTTATTTTCGTAATTTTACTACTTTATTCTGGAAATAAAATAAATAAATCCCTAGCCTGGCCCTAATACTCTGTTGTAGCCGTTTGAAAGTAGCCTTAGACAATTATTGCTGTTCATTTAATACAGTTGTATAATATTTGTCTGAGTAATTATATATTAATTTAATACATTTTCTTTTTAATAATCTTAATCCTTAATAGATCTGATAGTTATTATTGTTGTCTGATAAACAGAAAGTTAAAGAAAACACAACCACAAGCCAGGCTACTCTTGCCGAAACCAGTCAGGAGAAGGGCAAAAACATCTTTTCCTCTGAGAAAAGCCTCCAGAGCAGTGTTTTGCTCTTCTTTCGGTGAAGAAAAACTCTGTAATTCCGATAAAACTTGCTCGATAGCCACGCTAACTCTAGTTTCATCGGCTGAAGCCGCCATGTTCTTTAGACTGAACTGTCGCGCTTCTCGTTGCGTCACACCTCAACCCGCCTCAAAGCCAACGCTGATTGGACGTTCGTTTGGTGAACGGCTCCAAATTTTCTTTAACGGAGAGTCTCCAGACTGATCTGCGAGTGAAACCTTGAAAGCTCGCGAGATCAGGATGGTCTCACGAGGCTAGAGTTCCTGAGCAAGACCCTTAACCGCACAATGGCAGCCCTTTGCTCCCCAAGGGGATGGGTTAAATGCGGAGAATGAATTTCCCCATTGTGGGACAATAAAGAGATTTACATTAAGTAATGCATGTTTTTAAATATTGGAGATCAAAAGTTAACCTGAAACCAGGTAGAAGATGAAATAAAACTTAAACCTGATACTTTGAAAACAATAAAATTACTACAGTTTGAAAACATGAACTATCTTTATCACCACATGACTTTTTAATGTTGCACCATTCTTCCTTCAGTCGCTGTTAAAACCTGTGCTTCCAGGCACTGATGACATCACTGCACTGCTATTTGCATGTATTAGGTATAATCAAGGTCCGGCTTTCAGTGTCGGACGAAACACTTCACCTGCTTTGCCTACTGATGGGGGTCAGAGGACTCGGTGGCGCCAGTGTACGGCCGCCTCGCTTCTGTCATTGAGCCCCAGGGCAGCACCACCATCAAGTCTATTGACTTGGAAAAACGCTACATAAGTACCGGCCATTTCTAAGTAATGATTATTGATATAAAACTGGGTTTCTTGTCACTATAACCATATAGAAGTCCTTATGATGATTTTTCTGTGTATCTTAAATCTAAATGTTTATATTTCTGTGCGGTTTTGGTTTAATTCCTGGTCTGAGTTGCTTTTTTCTCCGTGTGGGAAATGCAAACCGGAAGCCAGTCCTGAAATCCAAAAGGGTTTTGTTAAACCTACCGACCTTCGGTTTCATTTCAATTCATTTTAGTTTATATCTAAAGTTCCAATTCACAGTACGTCATCTAAAGGCACTTTCCAGCTCACCAGATCATCCAATCAGATTGATTCAAAGTTTTCTATCCAAGGAAAACCAGCTGATTGCATCGACTCATTGACTCTTCAGCAATCCCTCAAACTAAGCATGCTTGTAGCGACAGTGGAGAGGAAAAACTCCCTTTTAACAGGAAGAAACCTCCAGCAGAACCAGGCTCGGTGTGAGCGGCCATCTGCTGAGGCCGACTGGGGTTCAAGGAGACAGAAGCAGACACAGCCAGGCAGACGAGTTCCGAGCCAGCTCCCATGTAAGAGGATGAAAAGATCACATCCAGCCAGTCACAGAGAAACAGGACTACACTGGAAAACAGGCCGATCTCCAACATCTACAAACATGGTGCCAAAAGGAAAGAGAAACTTTGGTTATCCACTATAACAACATTCTTACTACTGGATATCAATTTTGGCCTTAATTTTTATATCAGTGCTTTCCTCGCCCCAGCACAGCAGCCCTCTTATATTCAATGAAATTCCTGTCTGACCGTCGTTAGAGAGGGACGGTAACCCTGTGGTGAAGCGGTGGAGGACAGGCGGATGGAAAAGTTATTTGTTTAAATATTTTAAGAACTGGAGCTAAAGGTTTTTGAACTGGACGATCTGATAGTTTCTCTTTAGAGCCTAAAAAGGATCAGTCTGACAACAACGACAGCATCGACCGACACTTTAGAGCCGATTCTAAACTTCTGAAGGTTTCTAAATGATCAGTTCCTCCTAACTCTAGGTGGGTCTGAGCCCCTTTTGTTCAGGAGTCAGCAGCGCTCACGCCTGACATGATGGGACATCAGTGCTATCGTCCACCGAAGAGCCGGCGGGAGCTGACCAAGACAGAAGGGCCTGAGAACGTACCGACATGGTGATGGCAGCATCATGCTGTGGGGCTGCCAGTGGTACTGCTGCATTACACAAAGTGGATCACTAATTCTTCAGTTTCTGAATAATTTAAAGACACCCTGCATTACTGAAGGGGCTATAGAGCTGGATTTGTGCAGAAAACCGATCAGAGATGAACCATTCTTTATTGGTCCAAAAGGGGGCAGTGTTACCAACCCCCACAGCATTAGGCGTGGTTACCTTTTCCTCAGGAAGTTGGTTATAAACAAACAGCTGTTTTCTTTGTGCATAAAATGGTTTGATTTTATGATTTATAGTCGAAATCCTCAGTTAAATTAAATGCTCAATAATTATAAAATATAATTTATCTAACTTTGATGTCTAAGCTTATTAACCTGTAACTCATGAAGGAACCAAAGGCAATAAAAACTGAAGTAGAGTCCTGCACGGTTCGAGTTTTACCAACCCGCACACGCCCGAACCCGTTAGGATGACTACCGAACCCGACCCGTCACCCGCGGATATCTTCAATTCAAATCCGAACCCGACCCGTTGATATTTAACCCGCAACCCGACCCGTTAACACATCAAGTAATAGGCTATAGTACGCTGCGCTGCAGAACAGCGCCGTTAACACTGCAGCAGACGTGTATGGACTGACTGTGGCCTTTTTGGAGGGAAGCCCACACTGCCGGCAGGGCTTTAAGCTACAACAAGGGTGACCCCAGTGCCTGATTAATATTACATTTCTGATGTCCATAACAATAGACACGCATAAAAAAAAAAAAAAAATCACCAACTACCCGCCCGCACTAAAAAAATATCCGCCCCACGCCCGACCCGTTTATTTTTATTTATGTATTTTTCACCCGCAAAAGAGCATTTTAGCGGGTGACCCGTCGGGGACCCGTCGGGGACCCGCGGGTACCCGACCCGTTGCAGGACTCTACACTGAAGTGAGTGAAGTCATCCAG